GTGGTATTATTCCCTCCAGCGGATTCGGCCGCTGGTCCTCCTGCCCAATCCAGTCCAGCCCCAAGCTGAAGATTGTCGGCCGGCGGGGTCGCACACGCGACTAGCGCCGCCGAGGCAGCTGAGAGCGCCGTCGCCTCCTCCGAAAGCCCAGACACGCCGGCGGGAAGGAAATGCATGCTGGACGTCGCATTGGTGTCGAGCTCGACGGATGGGACCGCGCCGTCGCCGTCCGTGACCATCCGCTCGTCTTGATGGTCGCGGGGCCCGTCGGGACGCTCACCCGCTTGAGCGGCGATCATCAGCTCTGAACTGCATCCGTTACCGTCACCACCTTCATGCCCATGGGGAAGCCCCGCATGCAAATCATCAGGATCTGACCCAAGCTCGCCTTCAACTGCCGCCAAGAGAAGGTCTCCGTCACCTGGGGAGCTGCCATGTCGCAGCTAGGGCTCGAAACCCGCGCCGGTAAGTCGAAGACGCCGCCTGGGTTCTAAAACATCCATATAACCGTATTGCGTTGATCGTGAGAGAGGATGCACGTCGCGTCTACGTGCCTGATGGCTGCTCGGAATTGACGCGGGCGAAGGGCGGGGAATGCTGAAGTTGAGTCTCCCCGGCGAGAGCAACACAAAGAGCATCTCTCGCCACAGAGCCCCCGCCGAACCACGCGTCGCACACATCACCGCACGGCGCGGTCGCGAGGACGGCCCCTACCGCGGTCGGCCCACCAGCGGACATAGGAGAGACCTCTTCACCTTCAGCGTCGAGAGCAGGAGGCCCACCAGAATACGAGGTCGCGGGCAAGGCCACCGCCTCCGTCGGTCCACCAGCCTACGCAAGAGAAGCATCTTCCCCAGCAGCTCCAGACCTATGAGGCTGACCTTCATGCGAGGCAGCGCGGAAGGCCCCTGCCTCAGTCAAATTTCCAGCTGACACACGAGAGCAATCATGCTCTGGGCCACCATGGTCTGGAAGACGTGCATCATGCGAGGCCACGGGGGCGCCCCCTGTCTCCGTCAGAGTTATTCTGCACCGAAGCCGCCCGCCGTCACCGAGGCACTCGCACCAGCACCACACGCGCCAACTGCGAGCACAGCAGCACCGCCAACAGATCCATCAGGGCAAATGACTGCAAGCCCTTGCTCCGCCATCAGACGGTCAAAGTCGCCATCCTCGCCACTGCTGTCAGAGTCGCTGACCACCACCGCCATGCGAGAAGGAGACTCTGGAGGACGGAGCCCAGACGACGTCGCAGAAGGGTCAGAAGGGGACGTCCTCGCAGTCCGCCCGCGACCGCCCCATGGCCTCTTGAGCCTGCACCACAAACTTACCGCTGGAAAGGATAGGCCCGAAAGTTTGCACGTACTCCGCATTGCTCATAGCGCCGTTCTTGTAGGGCGCTTCGCCTGTAGCCTGTCGATCACGCGCCAGCTGTTCGCTCTCTGCCTCTGCCGCGCCCACGAGCTCAATGTCCGCATCGGTTTGGGCAACGTACCCAAAAAAGTCGGCACTGCCATTATTTGCATCAGGAAAATAAGGATCGGCGCCGACCGCCCCGCGAGCCCCAGAATCCATCCGCAGATGCTGTGGAAGATGGAGACGCGGCTGAAGGGAGGGCTCAGGGCCAGGGTTGGGGGCCCGCTTGGTAACTTTAAACGCCAAAATGCTCTTGATGGCCACTCTGTAAATTTCCGCCACCCACTCTCTCTGCCGAAGATGTGCGAGAGCGATTTGGCGAAGGAAGCTTGCGCCTGCCGTCGCGCACAGGCCACGGCGACCTCGAGTGCATCCTCACCTGCTCGCGCGGAATTGCTGAAGAGTACCATCCACCCATACACATCTCGATGACAACGTCCAATATGCCCGCAAAGCCAGCGGGCGCCCCAGGAGTGTCTCGTGGAGGTGCGTCGACGAATGTCCGACATCCTGAATACCGAGGTAGATCTGCCATATAGGGGGACACACCACTCCATCCACTGTTGGACGTCGCTGCCATCGAGGCTGACCAGCAATGTTGATAGCAATTGTTGCCCCCAGACTGAAATACGATGTGCCAGATCCCGACGACGTATATCAAGCGGTGGAGGCAGTGTCGGTCGCTCCACACAGCGGCAACGACGAACCAGAGAGGCCAACCCCTGGATTTCCATGATGAAGAGGCACCGACCAGAACATGGGACATGAGCCCGAACACGACAACGGGACTTGCGATCCAACGCCTGGAATATCACCTCTACCACCCCCTACGCTAGGGCAAGATGGTGGGAGATGCTGGGATCCATAAAACGGCGACGCACGAACCAGTGAGGCCATCTCCTGGATTTGCGTTCTAACTCTTGAGCCGAAAGATCTGTCCTCGCCAATGTCGTCGATGTCCAAAATGTGCTCGTCGCTATCACAATGAGCACGTTCAACGCTGGCTTGCGCCTCGCTCGCGATGGTCGGATGCTCTCCCGGCCAGGAAGGCGGGGGAGAACCTCAAGACCTCGAACTCGCAGACGATCTCGTTCGTGAGACTGTCCTCGTTGTCCGTCAGGCGCCAACATATGCGCCCTAGGGTCAGGACGAGGGCCGCGATCGAATCCCTGACTGAAGACCAGGGCCTCAAGCAGCTACCGGAGCGGCCGCTCTCCAACAAGCACGCCTTGACAGCAAGGTGGGAGGCTTGGCGCGACCAGCGAGCACTGATATTGGCCTGTACTGCCATCCCTGTGGCCACCACCGGGGGGTCCTATCTCCAGCGTTTCGCCGCACACTGCAGGTTGAAGCCGAACGCTGCTCCGGGGGGCAGCCGCCCAGCCCACCTCGCCGCCGCGATTCAGAGGGCCCTCACCTGCCAGGGGGAGCGCCAGACGCAGCCGACCCCCAGAGCGCCTTGGCCGTGGGACTCGCTTGCATGATGCGCGACTGGCGCAGCCCAGGCCCAAACATCCTGGTGAGCCGCGCCGCCTGCCCCAGCGCGTCGAACTCCCTGGTGCCCTGAGTAGCCACTCTGCGGTGTCCACCCGCTGGGGTCTCACCTCCAGGATCGTGGTGACCCGGTACAACGTACGTCGGCGGGAGTGTCCACCGCGGGTGGTTGGGCAAGGCCCGCTGGAGCGCGGCCGACGAGACCAACATGCTCGTCTTGCTCCAGTTGAGCGGGAGCTTCCCGTCCTCCATCACAGCAACCACCCCGTCACGAACTTGGCCAACTGGCGGACCAGCACCCCGCGGGACCCGATGCCGTGGCCAGCAACGTCGTCGATCACGTCCACCACCCTCCCGACGGGCAGCAGGGCACGACCCTGGAGCAACAGGTCGGCGCAGCATGAGGCTAACCATAGTTGTGGCGCAGGCGCAGCCCGCAATGACGGTCCCGTGCACGGAGGTGACCCCGCTCACTGCCTTGTCGGCTGTGGCTCGCCTCGGGCCCGAATAAGCAAAACACAGCGCTCGCACCAGCCCAGTGCTGAAGCCCTGCGCCTCGGCGGCTCGCCTGAGGATGCCGCGATCGATCCTCTCGTAGAACATGATTATGTCGAAGTAGACTGAGGCGCCGTCGAAGCCAGCGGCCCGCGACAACCCGAGGTTGAGATTGTGCAGGGAGGCCGCACGATCACAACACGTGTCTAAGCTTTGGCCCCAGACCTCGGGCAGCGCATGGTCAGCTTCCCATCGACCACCGTAGCGCCGCCTGATACGACCCCAGACGCGCAGCCACACGCACATCAGCCCGATCGGGCGCCGCCCACGACCAGGCTCGCCCAGAAATACAGTGATACGGTGAGGGCATTGGATACGGAACCATTGGATCAGGAATCCAGGGCCTGGAAGCCAGTGGGAGGAAGTCCAATCGTGGAATGGCCATGGATATCACAGCCGCCCTTCTCAGATAAGGAATCCTCCAGAGTCTGAGGCCTCCTGGGCACACTCCTTCGCCTGCGCCCCCACCGCACCTGCGCGCACCGCGCCCCGCGGTGCGCTGCGCACGGGCATCTTGTCGCCGTGCCCCGTCGAGGCCTGGCCCGGCCGAGGATCTCGGCCAGGCCAATTTCGCGCATCGCGCCCAATGATGCGCCACGCACAGGTGTCCCTCCTCCTCCTCCTCCTCCTCCTCCTCCTCCTCCTCCTCCTCCTCCTCCTCCTCCTCCTCCTCCTCCTCCTCCTCCTCAGGGCGCTTCTCCAACCCAAGCAGCGATGCGCGACCACCTTCGCGCCCCTGGTGGCGACCCCGAGGAGGGGGCCGCAGACGCGCTGGCGCCCCGCGGGTTCTGCACCGCTCAGAGGGGGTGGGCCCTGCCAAACTTTGCCATGTACCATCGAGGGTCGAGATGGGGGAGGAGGATCGAAGAGGAAGAGGAGGAGGAGGAAGAGGAGGAGGAGGAGGACGGGGAGCATCGAGGAGAGGGATCGAGGAGAACGAGGGGGAGGATCGAAAAGGAGGAGGAGGAGGAGGAGGAGGAGGATCGAGGAGAAGGATGGGGAGGATCGAGGAGGAGGAGGAAGGGGAGGAGGAGGATCGAGGGGGAACAGGATGAGGAGGGGTGCGACGGTCGAGCGGGGGAAGGGGGCGGGACGGGTTCGGCCCTCGTCGGGCCCGGGACTTCTGGGGCCAAGATCCAGGGCGGCCGCAGAACTCACCAGTCGGCCCTCAGCATCCAGGGGAGTCCTCCCCGGCCCGCTTGCCAAAGTTAGAGAACAGACGTGTGGACACCCAGACATGAACATGGGTGAACGAATGCGGCTCGGCACGACTGCAACCATGGGCATGCAGTCGACCGAGGCAGAAAAAGGGGGTCTCTCATGCCAACTTGCCAGAGAGGTAAGACACCAAGCGAAGCTGCCTCCAGATAGGTGGCCCAAGAAGGGCCAAAGGCGGCCTGCTCTTGCACCATCTTGGCTCCCCTTTGGCTCGCCTGTGGGCCGTCTTGGGCAGTCCTTGGGCCATCTTAGGGTCGTCATCGGCTCTTCAAGCGAGAACTCGGAAGGGCGGGCGGTGGAAGTGAAGCGTTATGAAT